AGGACATTGCTGGATCCACTGGGTGGTTGAGTATCTGAATTGTTGAGCTTCTACAACAAAGTGTGCAGGGCTTTGAAAGAAAAAATGGGGGCGAGAGGAGGGTGTTGAGACTATGCAAATGCTTAAAGCGGATCTCCAAAGGATCACCATATTGTTTATCTCCTATGATCATCAGCTCCATCTGGTGGTTGTAATGCAGTATTTTTTTTTATTTTTTTTATTGGGGGTTTTCCGGAAAATACAGCATTATGGCAACTAGGAACAGACAATCCTAGTAGATAATCATACTACAAGCAGTACTCGTTCATTCTGAAATCAGGATCTCTTTAACCACTTCCAGTCCGGACACTTTTACCCCCTTCCTATCCAGGCCAATTTTCAGCTTTCAGTGCTATCACACTTTGAATGACAATTGCGCGCTCATGAAACACTGTAACATATTAATTTTTTAGCATTTTTTTGAGACTGATAAAACTTTATTTTGGTGGTATTTATTTACCACTGGGATTTTTATTTTTTTTGCTATATAAATGAAAATGTCCAAAAAATTTGAAAAAGTGTTCTTATAAAATTTTGCAATCTTTCTTCATAAATCTTGGCCAAAATTTATTCATTTATCTTTTTAGTAAAAAAAAATAACCCAAATTAGTTTATAAGCAAAAATTTATACTTTTTTTTTTTTATTACATTTTTATCATTTTTATTTTATTTTTTTATATATTTTTTTTTTTTGTACATACCGTCACCCTAGCAGCACAGTGTCACCATAGTGACACTGTACTACTTGTGGGGGGTGATGATTTTTTTCTCTTACACTGATTGCTTTTATACCCATAAAGGCTGTAAAAGCAATAATTTCTCCTTCTCTCTGGCTGCATTCTTGCAACCATTGAGAAATACTGTGATTGGTCACAGCTTGTCACATGGTACAAGGCTGTTATGAATAGCCTTGTACCATGTGATCTCTGTGATCATTCACGGATTTCACATGTAGTAAGCAATGATGTCAGATGTGACATCTTGTTTACTACTCCATGTGATCACTGATTGGCCAATCAGTGATCACATGATCGGGACCTCACACAGAGGGTCCCGTACAACGATCGGTGTTCCCCTGTGTCCTCCGGACACAGCGGGCACCGGATCGCGGTGCCGCATGCTCCCAGCTAGCGTGCACAGGCTGAAAATGCGGCCACCATTTATGAACATCAACCCACTCCTGCACTGCCTTCGTCCAACCGTTTTTATATACATGGGTTGGACAGTAAGTGGTTAATATTATGTATGGTGTGGTGTGTCTGGAGGGGCACTGGATCGCAGTGCTGTGCGCTCCCAGGGAGCGCGCACAAGCAGGGAAGTGAGGAGGACAATTATAAACGTCCACCCGCTCCTACACTGCTCCCGTCCAGCCATTTATATACATGGGCCAGACGGGAAGTGGTTAAGGAGTGGATAGGATCAGGTTTAATTCTGCTGCACATTGCTGGGACAAAGTCCTTTTTAGCATCAAGGCAAAAAAAAAAGTGTGCCCCCAATAATCAGTGAACTACTTTGGCAGCATAGATTGCAAGCAGGGGCGGACTGACCATTTGGAAACTAGTCCAGCCTTTTCTTTGTGACCCTCTCCTGCTGGAGCACCCAAGGCAGCCGCCCCTTCTGCCCACCCCTCGCCCCGGACCTGTATTATTTGGTGCAGTAGAGGGAGATTTTCTGACTGCGGTTGTAATCTTGTAGTAAATCTGTTTCCTAAAGTATCTTCCAGCTTCTGCTTAGCTTTGCCCTGCTGTGCCACACAAATTGCTAAATGTCCCCAGTGTGTGACATGGCACAAACAATAAAAGTCATATATTAAATTGAAGTGTTTCCACAACAGACGCCTGTTTGCTTGTTTTTGCCCTCTGTGCGGTGTTTACTTTACCGCAGGACATTTTAATGAGTTTTATAATTGACGTGGTTTCCAGGCTGTTTGTGCTGCGGCTTGGCACCGCGCAAACAGCCGCTTTCTCTGACCTCCGAGCACAGCATAACCGTTTTATAGTCGGAGATTACAAGGTTTTCCTCAAGGTGTGGAACACGACTGGAGTGTCACTGCCTTCCCTATGGAATTCATAACAAACTCAAAGGGAAAGCTGAGTGTATATTCACTGATCACAGCGTTGGTTATTATTGCTCTGTTTACCTTAACCACTTGCCCTCCAGAGGATTTACCCCCCCCCCCCCCCCCCCTTCCTGACCAGGCCATTTTTTGCATTACGGCGCTGCGTTACTTTAAATTACAATTGCACGGTCATGCAACGCTGCACCCAAATGAAATGTATGTCCTTTTTTTCCCACCAATAGAGCTTTCTTTCGGTGGTATTTGATCGCCTGTGGATTTTCTATTTTGTGCGCTATGAAAAAAAAAAACTGACAATTTTGAGCAAAAAAAAAAACAATATATTTTGGAGTTTTTGCTATTAAACATGTCCAGTAAAAAAAAATTTAAAAATCAAATTCGACATAAATTTAGGGCAAAATGCATTCTGCTACATGTCTTTGCTAAAAAAAAAAATCGCAATGCATGTAAATGAATTGGTTTACGTGACAGTTATAGCGTTTACAAATGGCGGTATATATACTGGGGGTTTTTTTTTTTTGTTTTTTTTTTTTACTAGTGTCTTGGACCAATCATCTACTGAATATCTGCCCCCGTCCTAATTCACTGTATAGTGGAGTGCATGCACTTAGAAGAATCGCACTGAAGCCGTGTTCAGACAATGAAACTTCCTTTATTGAGATAAGGCATGGAGGCTTTTATGGGAAAGCTGCTAGTGCTGTGTGCAGAGGTCATGTGAGCGTAGTGTCACTAGACTACGTATATATGCTTCTGATTGGTCATAAACTTCCTCCAGGATCCAAACATAATCGTCTTGGGTGTAGCTCCGGATGGAGGCGCCATCTTAATTACAAGCTCTTCACTCGATGGGGGGGGGGGGGGGGGGGTCATCTGGCAGCCATTTTGAGCAAGAAAATAGAATAGCTGCACATATATATATATATACATTGCAAAATGGTCATTTTACTTAATTCCATCACACTAGTAATGGTGGCGATCTGGTAGCGGGTCTGCGGTGGGCATTCTGACACTGGAGGGAACTGACTTGGTGTCACTGACATTTTTCAGTGACACCAATACAGTGATAAAATAAAAATAAAAAGCACTGACACTGTACTAATGGCACTGGGCAGGAAGGGGTGATAAAAGGGTTAACTGTGTGCTGTTTTACATACTGGGTTCTGTTTGTGCTTCACTGTAAGCACACGTGCTAAGCACAGCCATGCAAAGCAGTGTGCAGGAGCTGATGGGAGAGAACTGTTTTATTTACAGTTGTTCTCCCAACCCCCCCATTGGAGATGCTCGGCAATCACTGGGCGCTGGCAAGTAATCCCTGTGATTGACAGCCGAAGGCCGCAAATAGCCTGCCCGGAAATGCAAAATCATGTGTATATATACGTGACTTTGCGCACCCGTGTCGCCATATAGCAGTATTTCTGCTATAGGGCGGATGGAAAGCGGGTAAAGCAGAGCTTCACTCTCTGTCAACTGTTTAAAACAAGTAAATATGATAGACTTTCCTATATATTTCCTATATATTTACCAATGCTAGCAGCATAAGGATTTAAACTTTTTTTTTTTTTTTAACATTTCTTCAGTTACTTTCTTCTTTCCATGCCTAGGCAAAAGGTGTCATACATCCGGGGGTCTTCAAGAGGGGAGGAGGGGCTTTCTCAGCTAAGCACATCCTTTTGCCTGCATGCCTGAGCTAAGGGCAGATGGATTCCAGGAAGTAAATGCTACATGAATCATCTTCTCTTACTCAAGATGGCCACAGGCAGAAATGCTAGGGGGGATGTTTTTCAATATAATTTCTCAACAAAATAAAGAGACATGGATGGATGGTTGAGTTTGCTTTGAATAGTACAATTGAATTAAACAGCATTCTTGGTTTGTGAGTCTCATATGCAGTGTAGTTCTGCTTTAATGGGGGCATGTCAACACTAGTCTTCTTTTGAAAATGCTTCTTTACCTTTGAAAAAGTTGTCTTTCCAGCAGTTATTAGGAAGTCCTTTATACAAGGTCTATACAAAAAGTAAGGCAAAAGTGGGCATAACCTTTTTTATTAACTTACACAGCTCATTCAAATGTCACTTGTTGGTAGAACAACTCTTCCCTCTTCCTCTTTAGTAACTTTTTTCTTCTTTTTCATTGTAGGTAAATAATGGATTCCAAGCAGAACCAACATGTTATCAATGGGCTTGATTTACTAAAGGCAAATAGACTGTGCACTTTGTAAAGTGCAGTTGCTGCAGAGCTTGGTAAATGAGTAAAGCTTCACTTTGCAAATAATACCCAATCACATGCAAGAAAAATAAAAAAAAAACAGCATTTTTTCCTGCAAATGGTTGGATAATGGAAGTCTGCAGAACCTCTGCTAATTTTTTAAGCTCTGGAGCAACTGCACTTTGCGAAGTGCACAGTCTGTTTGCCTTTAGTAAATCAATCCATTGAGTTCTTGAGGAAGGATGGGTGCAGGCTGTACGACATCCACAGGAGGTTACAGAATGTTTACAGAGATGACACCATTGACAAGAGCAATGTCTTGTCATTGGTGACTCTTGCCAGTGGTATCATCTCCATAAACATTCTGTAGTCTTCTGTGGATGTTGGACAGCCTGTACCCCTCCTTCCTCAAGAACTCAATGACCGCACATTGCTTCTGTTTGGAATCCATTATTAACCTGCAATGAAAAAGGAGAAGTGTTACTATAGATAATGAGCTACTCATCCAACAAACTAAAATGTTTTGACCGCTTTTGCATTACTTTTGGCACAGCCCTCGCATGTGGCTCATAGTGTTATGCTATAGTACAGCAGTGTGTCCATAATGAGCAGTGCAGTGACAAATTTGAATCTTTTATCATACTTGGTGAACTTTAAATTCCTTCTGTTTTTTTTGAAGAATAACTGAACTGATTGGATACCATCCAGAGGAGCTGCTTGGCCGTTCAGCCTATGAGTTCTACCATGCTTTGGATTCGGAAAGCATGACCAAAAGCCACCAGAATTGTAAGTATTAAAAAAAAATGTTCAGCATAAGCTCATCTTTATTGACAGTTTTGAGTTTATTGAAACAGTGAATGGGTTCTTTCCCTGTAGATATAGGTAGGATCACATCCTAACAACAATGACTAAGCAACCCTAGCCACAATGATTATTGGGTGGTTAGGTTTCCTAGGGTAACCAAAGACCATCTTTCTTATACTGCGTTGATGACATACCTTCTGGAGAAGCCTGCTAGATTCCATTGTATGATTTATAGTGTTCTCTATCCCAAGATAATGGTATTTATATAATATTGGGCTTTCCTTTGGACCACATTATTAAGGCAAACATCTACCTTTACCCCATGGTTGCAGCAACTGGCTAATGAACTGCAAGCTCACAAGACAGACTTGGGGTAAGAAAAATCCAAGTTTTGAAATTACAGTGAAGAATAGGTATTAGGCCCATGATGACATCATTTCAGACATTGCTTTATGATGTCTCACACTATACTCATGTCCACCAGGAGCTTTCACACCTTTCCTGAATGTGGTTAAGTTTCAAACAGTCAAACGGAAGCCTTTCTCTAGGTTGCCCTAATTATTATTTTGGCCTGGAGTAGTTACACCATTTCTTTTCCCTGGCAGTTTGCTTAGCAATGTTCACCACCCTTCACATACTGCTTTGATGATATACCTTCTGGAGAAGCCTGCTGGATTTCAATGTATGATTTGTAGTGTTCTCCGTCTCACGAAAATTGTATTTATATATTATGGGTCTTCGCATTGGACATAATTAATATTCAAGCAAACACATACCTTCACCCTATGGGTGCAGTAACTGGGTAATTATTATACAGGATTTATATAGCGCCAACAGTTTACGCAGTGGTTTACAACACAAGGGCAGACCGTACAATTACAATACAAATTAATACAGGAGGATTCAGAGCTAATTAACTGCAAACTCACAAAGATTTGGTCAACAGTAGCCTCCCTCCAGGTTGACTGTCATATTGCAGTGAGTGTGGCAACTTGGGTGCCATACACCTTCCATAATCTGGAAGCTGTGCACTACTTGGCCTGCAGTAGTTACACCATTTCTCTTACCTGACTGTTAACTCCGCAATGTTCATTTCTTAATTGGATGTAATAGGTTAACTCCTGCATTAAAGAACTTAAAACCATGGCACTACACCAAAAAGACAGAAACATCCTCATTATTAACCGGCAATGTTTACCGCATTCCAAACTCTCAATGTGCAAAAGCCTTAATGCGCTCAGGGTGTGGCCTGACAAATGCTATATATATAAACAAGAGTATTAATATCGATTGCCTGTACTCTGGCCACAGTCATTAAGCAATGCAGACTGAAGTCATCACACTTCATTTAATTTACACAATGCTGTAATGTTTCATATCAAGGTGAGGTTTATTGTCCCAGAGAGTCCTAGTTATTTGTTATTCAAGTGTAGAGTTCTAGCGTCTAAATACTTAATTGGGCTTAGATCATTTGAAAGTTAAGTAGTAGATTTGGCAGCCACTGTAGTACATAGTGTTTCTTCTCGTGTGCTGGAGACAATGTTTAATTTATATCTCATTATCTGAATAGTATGCACACTGCTAAACATTTACTTTGTTAAATGATTGGGAATTACTCTTGGCAAAGGTCTTATTTGTGGTTATACACATAACGTCTTCCATTGTTTTCCTTGGTTTTATAATGGCATAAAAGTATTGGGAGGTGAGGCAGGTGTTGGTAAATGGATCCATCAAACATGTCAGGTGTAGCTCGGGTGTTTTTCAGAAAAACAGATCATTTCTAAAGGAAGTCTCATAGTATAATGCAATAGAAAAGGAATTTTGCAAGCATTTTAGGAGTTTTGGTGGACTCACCATAGTCCCATAGCAAAGAAGTATCATGCCATCTTAATCCCATTGAGCTAATGCATTGTTGTGTGGACAGTCCACCATTCTCTGCTTCTCCAGTGTAGCTACTATCTTTTCTTTATCTTTTAGTTATTAACAGGGGTTCCCTTAGATCAGAAAGTTATTTCAAGGGTCCCATCGTGTTATAAATGTTGAAGGGTTGATCTAGAATCTAGATAATCAGCAATGGAGGTGGAAGATGATGCTCCATCATAGCAAAATGGCACCCTATACTCTGTGAGCCCTTGTAGATCCCTTGTCCTTCAAAGCTCCATACTGGAAGAGACAATTGGGTTGATTGACTAAAATTGGGAAGTGAAAAATCTGGTGCAGTTCTGCATAGAAACCAATCAGCTTCCAGGTTTTTTATTTTTTTGTTATAGCTTAATTGAAAAAGCTGAAGTTAGAAGCTGATTGGCTACCATGCAGAGCTGCAGCAGATTTTGCACTCTCCAGTTTTAGTAAAACAACCCCAACATATCTGTTCTTCATAATGCAATCATGGCATCTTCATTCACCGTACAGCTATCTTGCACATGTTGATCCACAACAGAACATACCCACATACAGGTAAGCTTCGTCTCTTATGTTATAAATAGATGCCACAGTTGGGGGCCATAATACATGGTAGCATTCCTGTTTCTACCTTTTTTTTTTTGCTTGCCAAATTACATTTTGTTTGTCATTACTATGTGTGTCAGACATGTTTGGATGAAATGTTGCCTATATGTTCCTCATAATTTTATTGTGGTTTACCAGTGTGCACAAAGGGCCAAGTAGTCAGCGGTCAGTATCGGATGCTTGCCAAGCATGGTGGTTATGTCTGGGTAGAAAGTCATGGCACCGTCATCTACAACACACGCAACTCCCAGCCACAATGCATCGTCTGTGTGAACTACGTCCTGAGGTGAGCAGAACAAATTCTGGTACATTGGCCACAGTTTGGCCCCCACAAAGTCTGAGGCACAGAACCTTTGTTTAGAAAGTTTGGAGACTCCTGCTGTAGTGGATAAGTAAAAGCAAATAGTGGTAGCTGCTCCAATCAATTTATAACAATGGCCAAGGATCTCTCCAAGAGGTATGGCAGCTATTAATATTTAATGAACACTACAAAAATTCCCCTAGTATTATATATTCATTGTACAGTATACATCCTTTTTTTTTTTAAATATCGTTGATCATGAATTCACAAATAGTTCTCATACAGTATCCAGATGAACGCCCCAATGCATTTCCATCAATAAAGTCTAGATCTTCTTCAGGGGGCATAGCCGGATATCATAATCCACATACATAATGAATTAACATGACCAAAACCATTAAAAGAATAGACACTCCCTCCAGACCACTGAGTTCCAAAATGGACCAGAATAGCAAACAAAGATTCTACAAGGAGTCATACGGACCCAAGATTCTAATGGGGGAAGAACAGAAAAGGCCACCATCCCCATTGGCCAAAAATTGTCTATGTGCCCAGGTAGTGTGGATCCCATAGAGAAAGATACAGACCTTTAGACTTTCCCCAGACCTTCGTGAATGAGGTGAAGCTCTGTTGACTTCGCTATCCAATTGTGTGCAAGTAAAAAAAAATATTTTTTTTTTTGCACATGATGGGGTGCTGTTTGCAAAGTGAAACTTCACTATATTCACTAGACTGTGGTTCAACTTCCCTTGCAAAGTGAACAATCTATTTTCCCTCTGCAAATCAACCCCTTTTCCACAATCAAACTTAAAAGGGCAAATCTGATTTGGTTTGAATCAGCAGTAGATCTGATGTTTACCCTGGAAAAAAATAAAGTATTTCTAAAAGATTTACAAATGAAACTCTATTCTTGTGCTCAGCAAAACAAATTAAAACTGGAGAGAAGTTATGTCATAAATAATGCTATTATTACTCATTTAAGTTTCCCATAATTGAAGCTATTGGGGCGGCACAGTGTGGCTTAGTGGTTAGCACGTCTGCCTTGCAGTAAATGGGTCATGGGTTCTATTCCCGACCATGGCGCCTCCTGCATGGAGTTTGCATGTTCTCCCTGTGCTTGCATGGGTTTCCTCCAGGTGCTCTGGTTTCCTCCCACACTCCAAAGACATGCTGGTAGGTTTATTGGATCCTGTTTAAATTGGCCCTAATATGTGTATGTATGAATGTGAGTTAGGGACCTTAGATTGTACACCCTCTTGAGGATTAGGGACTGATGTGAATGTACAATATATATATGTGTAAAGCGCTGCATAAATTGACAGCGCTATATAAGTACCTGAAATAAAGTTAAGGAAACACTAAACTCTCATGAAACAATAGTTTTGTACAGCACTGAAAGTAATACAGGAATAAATTAATTTTTATTTTTGTATAAAAAAGAAAGTTTTGACTTTATTTTTTCTAGTTTTCTTTCTCTGTGTATATCTTGTATAAACCTCCTGTGGCCCTGTGCATGCTCCAGTAGTGGTTGAACGTCAGGTATACTATGACAGAGCATGCCTACACATTCTGGATTGGCCCACATGCTTGTATTCCAGATTGTGCAGAAAAGGGTGACAATGTTACAGCTGAACCAAGCAGGCGTTGTCACCCTAAGAAGGAGCCTATGGGTACACTCTTCTGGTAGGACCACTTCAAATATTTTAATTTGAAGCAAGAAATACTCTAAATATTCAGGGTTTTATGATGGAGGTGATAGAGGTTCATGAAGTTTTTTTTAACATTACAGGAACATATGCAACAACCTATTTGGTTTAAATTCTTAGGTTTAGATGTATTTTAATTGTCATCTAGTAAATAAATGTAATGGACTTCTGTCCTTTGTTTTTCTACAGTGACATAGAGAAGACTGATATTGTGTTCTCTATGGACCAGACCGAGTCTCTCTTCAAGCCCCACCAGGTGACCATGAGCTCGATCTTCAGCAGTGCTGCTTCTGACAAGACCAGCGACTTCTTGTTTGCCAAGTTGAAGGAGGAACCAGAAGAGCTGGCACAGCTGGCTCCCACACCAGGGGATGAAATTATTTCCTTGGATTTTGGTTAGTAGATTACATTTTTTGCTTGTAGTCCTAATCCATGTTGTAAAGCAGGGATGTCAAATGCTGACAACACATCCTGCCAGGTTATATAGGAGAACCCCTAAAAGTGCCAGATTATTCTGTATAAAGGTCATTACAACCTAATTCACCTTACTTTAAAAAAATAAAATGTATGTATGTGTGTGTTTTTATATATATATATATATATATATAATATATATATATATATATATATATATATATATAATTATATGATCCCCTGCATACGTTTTGTCCACTTACAAAGAAATGAACTATAATTTTAATTGAGATTGACAGAATATCAACCAAAGTTTAAATATGCGTAAAAAAAAATATAAATTGAGTGCAGTTAAGTGCGTAAAATACGTATTTGATCCCCTTCCAACCAACAATAATTCTGGCTCCCACAGACGTGCTCATGTGATACACAGATTAGTCCTGTCAATTTAAGAAGGTGCTGCTAATGACAACTTGTTATGTGTATAAAAGACACCTGTCCTCAGAATCTCTATCTTGGGCACCACCATGGGCAAGACCAAAGAGCTGTCGGGGACAAGATTGTAGACCTCCACAAAGCTAAAATGGGCTACAAGACCATCAGCAAGAAGCTTGGTGAGAAGGAGACAACTGTTGGAAAGATTATTCACAAATGGCAGAAATACAAAATAACAAATCACCCTTGGTCTGGAGTGCCATGCAAGATTTCACCTCATGGGGTAAGGATGATCATGAGAACAGTGAGGGAACATCCCAGAACTACACGGGAGGAGCTTGTGAATGATCTTAAGGCAGCGGAGACCACAATCACCAAACAAACCATTGGTAACACAATATGCTGCCATGGATTGATATCTGCATGACCCACAAGGTCCACCTCCACAAGAAGGCACATGTACAGGCCCGTCTGAAGTTTGCCAATGATAAAGTGGGATAAAGTGCTGTGATCAGATAAAACCAAAATTGAGCTCTTTGGCATTAACTCTACTCTCCGTGTTTGGAGGAAGAAAAATGCTGACTATGACCCTAAGAACACCATCCCTACAGTCAAGCACGGAGGTGGAAACATTATGCTTTGGGGCTGTTTCTCTGCTAAAGGTAAAGGCTGACTAAAAGTAAAGGTACAGGCTGATTTTACCACATTGAGAGGCCAATGGACGGGGCCATGCATTGTAAAATCTTGGATGAGAACCTTCTTCCCAGAGCAAGAACACTGAAGATGTGTCGTGGATGGGTCTTCTAGCATGACAGTGACCCAAAAATACCACCAAGGCAACAAAGGAGTCACTCAAGAAGAAGCACAGTAAGGTCATAGCTAGTCTCCAGACCTTAATTCTATAGAAAATTTATGGAGCTGAAACTTCAAGTTGCCAAGCGACAGCCAAGAGACCTTAGGGATTTAGAGAAGATCTGTAAAGAGTGGACCAAAATCCCTCCTTTTGATGTGTGCAAACCTGGGAACCAACTACAGGAAACATCATCATCTGTGCTTGCCAACAAGGATTTCTCCACCAAGTACTAAGTCATGTTTTGCTTGGGGATCAAATACTTATTTTACTCACTGAACTGCAACTCAATTTATAACATTTGTATCATGTGTTTTTTTCTGCATTTTTGGTTGATATTCTGTCTCATAATTTTTATCATAGGTGTATTTTAAATGATAGACTCTTCATTTCTTTGATCCTCTGCAGATTTTGTAAGTTTGCCCACGTTCAAATAATAATTTTCCCCACTATACTGTATATAATTTAACAGAAGTTTAAGCCCTTATGCTAGCTTAAAGGAGAAGCACATGCAGAGCTCTTTTGTCTGTACTTCTATGGATCACAGGAGTGCAGTTTGTTCTGCACTCCTGTGACTCGTTTTGAGCCCGCTGTTGGCAGACGTTTCTCAGCTGATCCAGACTGTGGAAAGATCCCAATTTTAAAATTTGGATCCACCCCAGAGTCTAAAGCGGCACATGGCTCAGCCTCTCAGCGGTCCACTGAGAGCCTGAGCCAGCCGCTCCCTCCCCCTTCACAGCCCAGCGCTCCAGTGAGCGCGGAGGGGGCAGAGTAGACAGTGGTGACTAACAGTCCCTGCTTTCTGCTTACAGCAGCAGTGAGAACTCTGCGATCAGCGGTCATGAGATCGCTGTGTTTCTCACACTTGCGGCCGGCGGGGGACATATGCAGCATCAGACCAATGCTGCATACATCTAGGTAAGTATAATTTTGGAAAAAAAAAAAACTCATCCCATACTTTTAACTCCTTGATGTTCATACGTAAATTGTCATCACCTAAACTATCAAGGCATTGTGCACCAGGATCACTACCAAAAGCTCCCTTCCCTGAGCCAAACAGATGCACCATAATCAATTTATTTGACTTATCTGAAACCTTTGGAAATTAGTAAAACAGCTTAAGGAAAGAACACATAAAGAAAAGATGAAAAGTTTAGTCTACTAGTTGTTGTTTGAACTATGGGGATTGACTTTTCTTTTTTGGTTCCTCAGGTGCTCAGACTTATGAAGAACCATCAACTTACAACAGCAGCACACAGCCAAGTCCAAATAAACAGTGGCCACTGGAGGTCAAGAACCATGGTTCCCAGCCTGACATTGTGAACCGTCCGTCCTTTACAGCGCCTCAGCTGGCTCCTGGGAGTACTACACCCAGTGCTACCAGCAACAGCAGCTGTTCTACGGTAAGACTTGGCTTTCCAGTGATGTTTTTTTCATCTCTCATCCAATAGCAACTGTGACAAGAGTGTTTAACCATCTGCAGCAATAGTAAAAAAAAAATGTAATCCATGTAAATGTATAGTGACCATTTTAATTATCCCTGACAGATATAGTTTTTCCAGTACTTTCACTGTCACTTTTGCTAGGCAGCTTTGTCAGCATGTAAAAGTGGAAAACATATAAATATAGGCTTGTAATATAAAAAAGTAGTTAATAGCTGTCTTTACTAAATATAACACCATGTAAATGTCCGATGTCACAACTTTCCCCAAGGTGGTTCTCCTATCAATGATCTCTGGGCCCATTTCTACAAATAAAAATGGTATTTTGAGGCATTGGGGGGAATTCATTAAAACTGGAGAAAACAGAATCTGGATCAGCTGTGCGCAGTAAACAACCAGCTTGTTCATTTAAGTTTTGGAAATGGAAAGCTAGGAGCTAATTGGTTGCCATGCACGGCTGCTCCAGATTCTGACTGTTCCAGTCTTAGCAAATTTCCCTTCTTGCCTACTGGCTGTGCGTTTTTTTTAGCCATTTTTCACTACTGGAGAAAAACCTCTCCATCACATATACTAGAGTGGGACCAGATACTCAATGACATTATGACAATGGAGACCCCGTTAGGCAAAGATAGCAAGGATCCAAAACCAGCAACCCTGTGGACCTGCTGGTGAGCTCATAGAGACTCTGATTAATTCCTTGCCTTATCTTTACAATAAGAATCCCACCTACTGTTATACTTACCAATTTCCATTGTTAGGCTTTACTTCATTGTGTTGTTTGAGCTCATTCTGAACAATTCTTGAGTTTGTGTACACATACCAAATTTAGGTTTCTTTTCAAGACCAATATAAACTTTGGAAGCCATGTGTTTTCCATAACTGTTTTCCCTTCTCTCTTCCTTTCTTGATTGTTTCCTGTTACTTTTCCCTGATTGTTTTCTGTTACCTTTCCCTGGTTTTTCCCCTTAACGTTGTTTCATTACTTTTGTGTACTTCAAAAATTTGAATAAAGAGATATTTGAAGTGAAAATGAATTCTATAGAAAACATAATTATATTAATTGAGAACAAGCAAAAACAGTATGCAGTATGTTTCTTGATAGTTGTCCTTTAAACTGGCAAAAGAGCTATACTTTTGAATGTAGCAGCCACAAACACATACCGTATTTCAGGGTTGCCAAAAACTGGTCTCTGGTCTAGTCTAAGATGTTCTGAAAACATTAAACGCTATTTTAATTCTTTATTTCCATGGTAATTACTTCCACTGTCCCCTTCAATTTCAGCCAAGCAGTCCAGGAGAGTATTATACATCTTTGGAAGAAGATCTCAAAATTGAGCTGATTGAGAAGCTGTTTGCAATGGATACAGAAGCAAAGAATAATTGTAACACTACTAAGGTAGATGAAGACATGAAGAGAAATGTGTCCCACAACAACCAATTGGCTTCTTGCCATCCTATTGTTATTAATTATTAGGAAATTACAGCAAAGCAGACTTCTATATTTTATTTTCCTCCAGTTTATTGTAAGTAGGTGGTAATTCGCATGACTGGTGTTACCATCAGGGTAATTGGATACAAGACAGCTGTATTTTTTGTTTTATTTATTTTTTTAGAATTTCAGTAGCCTAGTATATACTACTTATTTAATCTACATACTTGTTCTTGAATAACAACACCAGTCCAACCGGTCTGATCTAGCATGAGAGTAAAGTACTTCTGTTAAACATTTCGAGATACTATACTTTCCTACTGAAGATGCGTTATATGTATATAACTTAACATAATCAGGGACTTCTTTTCCTCATAGAACGACTTTAATGAGCTGGATCTTGAAACACTCGCCCCATACATTCCAATGGACGGTGAAGATTTCCAGTTGAACCCCATTTGCCAGGAAGAGTGTCCCATCAGTGAAAGCACACAGCAGCCCCCCCAGCAGAACATAAGTAGCATGAATACACTCTACCAATCCAGTGCCCCCCCTCCTCCTCCGAACCAGTACCTGCATCAGACCTATTCTCAACCAATAGGAGCTAAAGGCAGTAATCCCAGTCAGGACCCCAGCCATTCTCTGCCCACTGGCCTCTATAATGGTGAAAGAAAGTCGCCAGCTTTGTTGGCCTACCATACCGGAGCAAGTACACCACTGTCTTCAATGGGAGGCAGACCTAATGTACAATGGCCACCAGATCCTCCTGTCAGTTACATGCCCCCAAAGTGGAGACTGATGGAGCAATACCATGAATCCAGCTCAGCTACTGGACGTCCAATGCATCAACACAGCATGCCATTATATAAACAAAGGTAGGAGGAATAAAGATGCAGTATCTGTCCTTTTTTGCTTACATTCCTTTGCTCCCTCCCCTTCCTCCCTCCCTCCTTCCTCCCTCCCTCCCTCCCCTTCCTCCCTCTCCCCCTTCCTCCCTCTCTCCCCTTCCTCCCTCTCTCCCCTTCCTCCCTCTCTCCCCTTCCTCCCTCTCTCCCCTTCCTCCCCTTCCTCCCTCTCTCCCCTTCCTCCCCTTCCTCCCTCTCTCCCCTTCCTCCCCTTCCTCCCTCTCTCCCCTTCCTCCCCTTCCTCCCTCTCTCCCTCTCTCCTCCCCTTCCTCCCCTTGCTTGCTTCCTCCCTCTCTCCCCTCCCTCCCCTTGCTTGCTCCCCTTCCTCCCCTCCCTCCCCTCCCTCCCCCTCCCTCCCTCTCCCCTCCTCTCCCCCTCCTCCCCCCCTCCCTCCCTCCCTCCCATTGCTTCCTCCCTCCCTCCCTCCCCCCCTCCCCTTGCTTCCTCCCTCCCCCCCCTCCCCTTGCTTCCTCCCTCCCTCCCCTTGCTTCCTCCCTCCCCTTGCTCCCTCCCCTTCCTTTTCCTCCTTTTTGATATATGATTAAAGAATCACCCTACCCAAAACCTCTATTTCAGTTTAATAGTAGAGGGGTAAAACAGACAGCTGAGAATACCCTAGACTCCCCAGTAGCAGTACTCCAGCAACATGTCCATCTTGTTGTTCTAGTATCCCAGTCATAAGAGGCCAGAAGCTTACTCAAATCATCGGATCCCCCTTATAATAAAAATGTCACCTTTAGCTGTACCAACTCTTTAATTTGTATCAACCATAATGGAGATGGAGATTTATTACTGTTGGTAATCTCATTAACAGGTCGCTTGAGAGCTTTGGGCAACGTGGTAAGGATTTACATCCCACAGAGATGACCTTCTGCAACAGTATGAAGAGGAAGCGGCAGCTTGATTATGGAGCTCAGGTGTTTCCACAACTCAATGTGGTAAGCTGCAAGATATCCACACAGACTGTTGTTTGTTTTCAGGCAGCTTTGAGACATTGTATAGACTAAAGCAAGGGTTTCTGATCTGTGATACTCATCCCAGGACTGGACTCTTTGGCTACCTTTTGGTGATTGATGTTATGACCCAAAATTTCAGAAGCACTTATTTCTCACTAAGATTGTTCAACTTATTGGGCAACCTAGCCAAACCTTCTCTCTTCTCAATGGGAAGTAGAAAAGAAAAGGGTAATTGTGAATGTACTATGACAGAGATTATTTCCTGTCCATCATTGCCATGTGACCTTCTTGTCTATAGCTAGTATTTTCCTGGCCTTGGATGAGCAGATTTCTGACAAAGGGAGAGAGGGAGGAAGGGAATGTAAGCAAAAAATTTTGACAAAGTTGTTGAGTTCTGCTTTCCTCCTGGAAGCACTGCACTGATAAGAGGGAGAAGATCAGGGATTTCAAATCCCCAGGCTGCTGGACTGGCTGTGGGGGCACTGACAGCTCGACATCCCTGGAGCCAAGTACAGCAAGGATTGGGGAGGTGGGAAAGATGTACAGTGTTCATTCACCTTTACAGAAAAAATAAATGAGTGGACACTTTAAATTTTATGCGGTCATTGCCACCTGCAAGGGTTTCCAACTTGATGGAAGATCTGGGCAGCCCGTTCAGGAATGTTTTTTTTTTTTTTTTTACTTAAACAACACACTTGAAATTTGTCAGAGATAGAAGGGACCCCATACAGTGATTATCTTATTAGTAGCATGATTATATGCTTCTAGTGTATATGTAATGTATTGTGTTTTTGTAGGGGGAGTTACCTGATAACACCATACCATCAATTATGTGGAAAAGGATGAAATCCTTAAAACCAGAAATGTGTCCACTTGTTTCAGAAAAGAAATCCCTGAGCACAAGTGTCCTGAATGGTGAGTAGAGGGACTTTATAAATGTCTGTCAGAGACTTGCTGTTGCCCTTTAAATTCTGATAGTGACATGTTAAGTGTCTTGGGGCATCTAACAGATATTTATGGCCATATATTTCTTGTTACCAACAGATATTTGTGGCCATATATTTCTTCTAATAAGCTGATTATCATACAAGTAATTACTACTTAATGATACAAGTCAAAACTGATGATACTGTATGTTATGAACTGACCCTATGGTGGCCTTCTATGTAATACGCAGTTCATTTTAACTATGGCAGATTTCCTGTCCATCGTTGCCATGTGACCTTCTTGTGACATTGGCCAAACAAAATGTCTAACTGCTTGCAGCCTGTGTGTGTGTAGGGAAGTGCAAATTGGTCTGGAGTTAGTGACCTGGAGATTTCTATCTTCTTCCTAGATGAATTCATCTGTAACAAGCACAGAGGATTAAACCAGCAGATGACCCAACAGTCACATCCACAATGTGCACAAAGTTCCAGAGATGGCAGGAAAACTCCTTATCAGACCACGTTTTTCAGTTGTAATTACCATGATTACAACCTGCCACAATCACAAAAAGTAAAAGGTTAGTAGAAACGGGATTCAGTTATCACAGTTTTTTCATGTCTTGGTTAATAATTTCTCAGACAGTGAGCCTGCCATGCCTAATGGGAGCCAAAGGGTCAGTTAACACCGCGGTAATTGATCTTGCTTTGATATCGCTGTTACATTAGGTGGCATTTATATAGATTTCGTTTAATGGAAGTATTGTTTAGTGGAAAGGTGTTTTGGCCAGGTGTACCTTGAAATGGTTCCAGCAAAAAGCCCCATTGTGCGTTGTCACCGCATGCTAGTGCACAGTGCAACCTGTTGCCTTGCAAAGACCAGCTATAGGGGTTGTTACTCCTGTACCACCAATCAGAATGAATGGGTTATGGGCTCAAGACTTGGGACACCTGAAGGCCTGCTGCTCATCAAACCCTTGAGATGCAGAGACAGACTGACCACGCAAAAGTCCTTTAATATGTGTATACCTGTAATAAGAATGAGGTTTTTTCATAGGAAGGGACTCATTTTGTATTGTTCTTTTTAATCTTATTGGACTAATATGTAACCATTTTAGATACCATCAACACTTAGTTGAATTATTTTTGAAAGTGTGGCTAGTAGTACCTGATCACATTCACCTGGACTTGTTTTGGTATTTTGAAAATGTTTCACCAATCATCCAAGTGACTTCTTTAGTTCTAATAAGCAATTACATTAACATAATAGAAGCCACGGTTATGGTTGTTGGTGGCAGTAGTTTGAGGAAGGAACATTCTTTCACAGCCTATATGCTTACTAGCAAGTGAACTGCCGCTGCTGACTTTTTTTTTTTTTATTGCTTATGACTTTTTTTTTCTTTACAGCCATGACCAACCGGCTCATCGGCCCAACATTTGAACCCTATCTCTTGCCGGAACTCACAAGATACGACTGTGAGGTCAATGTGCCAGTACTGGGTAACTCCAACCTCTTGCAAGGCAGCGACCTTCTCCGAGCCCTGGATCAGACCACCTGAGAGGAGCGGTGACCCTCTCATCACCATCAACTCTTCATTTAAATAAAACCGCTTCAGTTTCTAAATATATTTTTCCAGTAGACAGTTTCTATTACTGATAACAATCTTACAAGAATCATTCACATGTGGAACTTTGTGCACAGTACCAAATAGTGGCCTTACTGATATGATGTCAGATTATAACTGAGAGAGAGATATACATATGTTTTTACCTGCTGTATTTTTCTTTATTTTAATAAAAAAAATAAGTGTATAGTATAGAAAATGTTTTACATGCCCTTATATCCCTGTAAAAGTAATTTATATATATTTTTTAATGGCCATAGAAGATCGTTGGTGAATATATCTGCTTATCATGGAGGATGTTACTGATGCAGATCACTGGAATTCTGTATACTGTAATTCTTTGGCAATGCCTTGTATTTTATGGTTTTTCAGGTTGCAAATGTCTTGGAAGAGTTTAAAAAATAAAACAATTGGCATTCCCATATTGAACGAGACCAAAGAAACTGCATTCCTTCAGACCAGAAAGTTTTCTGAGCTCTTAAAGCAGTTTAAAGCTTCATAATTGCTCAGAGAGCAACATCGGTGGCACAATAACTTACAGCAACCAATTGGCAGCCATCTTTCAGTGTATTGAACTGCTGAAAGTTGAAATCTGATTGGTGTCATTGATCAGCGAGTTTGTGGTGTGTAATATAAAATAAAGATGAGAGATATATATATATATATATATATATATATATATATATATATATATATACATCTTACTAGACTACTACTGCTGGCATTGTCCATGCCAAGATTCATCAAACCGGACAGCATTTTACAGACAGGCAAAAAGATGGGTTGTCATCCAGAATCCAGCCTAAGGCATCCAGTACCTCACTTTTCTGAAGTAAATTTTTTTCCCTTAATCTGCACATCTGTGATGGTTAGGGATTGAGTTTTTACTAGAGATTTGTACAATCAAATTGTTGAATCCTACTAGGTTAATTTTTTTTTTTTTTTTAAGAGTTCCAGTTTGTTCTAGGGCCCCATTAATACATTTTGCATTGAGAATCTGAATCTAACATAAGCAAATATACAGTAATCCATGTCATCCAACCAAGTTTCATCTTGCATGGTCTAGCCTCCATACAACAGAGTCTGCTGACATCATCAGCACCAAATTACTGAATAAGTCTGTTGGGGTCCAAACTTGGGAATGACTGAATGCAACTGGTCTACCGACTCCTCCATCTCTTTGCAACCCCTACATTCTTTAAATTCATAACACTAATGCAAGTTTTTCTGCAAGCCTTTCAGTAAAATGCTACAAAATATTTCAGATGTGAAAGACCACTTCATAAAATTGCTGACTGAAGCTTAGGTGCCTGTGGAACTATTTTGGTTCCCTTTTATAGACTACACAGTCTAGAGCTGGTCGGATGCAATATATGGAAATGTTGGTGCATCAGTAGAATGATGCGGTGGTACATTATACAGAATTATGGAACTCAGTGATGCAGCAAATTTAGGTGGCATAATGCTTTCAGTGCAGCTCCCAGTTACCCTTGTTTGATCAGGTGAACCCTGATTTTTAGAACGGGGTAGGTTTGCTCAAATATGACTGAACTGGGCAGAATTGCATAAAACTGACCCGCTTTTAAATGTCGAATGTTGGGAGGAACCACTAAGCATTATGTCATCATCCTATGCACTATTCTTGTTGTAAGCAAGTCCAAATAAAAACTTAACTGTTCTATTTTAAGATCAGGAGAAGTTGAAAGTCACATGACCAATTACTTTATTGTATTGGATAAGCATTTCCGGTTTTATTTTTGTTTTATAACATCTACATCCTATTACATTACCTTTTTACTTTTTGTTACTAATCTACAAGGGTATAATCAAACGTACAAGGGGGTTATCCCCTTAAAACTTGCACAGTTTACCGTAACAAAACTTTATAGGAACTCTGTATAGACAGTTAACACTTTACGCTCTCTTCCATCCATTAATGCATAGAGGTAAATGCTTCTTTCATTGGTACAGTACTTTTTTTGTACATATTTTGACTCTTGCTCCGATGTTTGTTTTTATTCTCTTCAGTGTAGCAACAGTGGTTATTGCTAGGGTAATACTACAGGCATTATATGATTTATCCAAAGGAGGTTAAGATTATTAATAATCATGCAAACTTTCATTTTACTGCACGGAGTTCTTGTTTCCTGTACACAATGGACAGAAGCCACTTTGTATGAAGGGGCAATTATTTAGTTCACAGATAACCAAGTACCTACCTGCCATAGCAAGGTGACTAAAGGCTGGCCGTACACAGCTCAAGTTTTGGCTGATTCCTTCTTAATTGGCTGTAGCTAGCCCTATCTGCTCCACCCAGCTCAACAATATTTGAACTGAAGGAGCTGGGTGGAAATATGTCTGTGGAACAGTAACCTATGAGATGCAACCATTGTTTGAGTATTCAGATAGCTGTTGCCACTGTGGCTGTCTGAACACAATAGCGAGATCATAGAGAAATGTATGCCCATATGGCTAGCATTGGCTGCTTGCTACTGAAAAACCATTTAGCCTTCAAAATGGCTTCATCCACTGTTTAGGCAACAGGTACACCTTAAAGGTCCAGTAAACCTAAAATACAACTAACTTGTGATATAAAGAGCTAAAACATACATAGAATTGTTCTCCTATCTGTAAAGAACTTGGATATGGGAGTACAGATACTTGAGATAATGCTATAATCCATTTTAGGCTAAACAATAGCTACAACTGTCCTCAGGACTTGAATTTATCTCAGTTATTTGCAGTGCTGATAAGCTCCAGAAACTATTACATATATATCTGTAATTGTACTTCAGGTTTATGGGCCCTTTAAGTTGCAATATACAGGTTATATTTTTTCAACTGCAATATTGTATCAATCTTTTTTTTTTTTTTATTATTATACATATATACACACGTGATTCAGGGTCTCAGAACTGTTTTATAGCCTAACTTGTGTCAGTTGATAGCTCTTCAAGTGCAAATATTTGGGTTGTACTGCAATATTTTAAGGGCATTGTATTCAGCTTTTACATATATATTCATATGTATACATACAGGTATAAGTTACAAAACCACTTCAGTGGTTCTTTAGTGGTGAATTGCCGCAATGTTAAAACGTTGGCCTTTATCACACTCAGGAAGCGCTCCTAATGTGCCGATTTTATGAAGCGGTATCAATCCCAGCTCTTAACTTCATCCATCTAAACCAGGTTTATCCATGTTACTCCTCAGGGGTCTCAACCATTGCCTTATTGTGTGCTAAAGCTGATGTTTGTAACATTAAATAAACACGGGTTTCTCATCTACCTGACATTAGTACATAGGTCAATTATATATTGAGCCTGTCCGATTTATAGTCCCCTTACCAGCTTTTTGTAATGCGTTGCTCTCTAGTTCTTGTGAAAAAGCAAAATCCAAGTGTGCCAGTTGCACGGATTATGTAGACGTAGGCAATAGAAGGGCAAATTTTGTTGGCGAGTACAAGATCTGCCCAGCCATACCTAGAGCAGATACGTTCCGTGAGCAGCAGATACATCTTTCTGCAGCACGACGTACGAAAGGAACGTTCCTTCGTGCTTTAGAATGTGGAATGGTATTAGGGCTGTTGCATTAAAACGTACAACTTCTATGGTATCAGTGGATGTTGCATTCACTTACTGGTACCCCAAATTGGCTTGTGGATTTGTTGTACCCATGGATAATTTTTAGATGAAATTAGCCCAGCTATTCTTTATTAATGTATTCCAGCAGCACTGACAAAAAGCAGACTTGGATTTCTCTCTGGTAACATTTCACTTTGATGCGTTGAGATCGTAATAAACCATTGGCATAGGGTATGGCTCAGTGGTCCTCCAGTTGAGCTCCAGCTGGCATGGCTCCCCATTAGTTGATAAGCAACTGATTTTTCTCTCTCTTAGAAATGAAGTGGACCTGTCCAATGCCCTCAATTCAAGAACCTATTTTGTGGGTCAGAAATATGCCTGTTATTACTAGTGAATTGACTAGTTGCCTACACATATACATTGGATCAAATAAAATTGCTCTGTATATAAGTAACAGGTCCACTCCTAAGTACCAGCATTACAAAAGTTGCTTTGTACTGTCCAATAAATCCACGAATGCACCAGGTATAACCTTTAATTTGCAAGGACACTAATCCATAGGACTGTTAACATTTTTTTTTTAGTGTGACGTAAAACGCAGGACCTAAAAATGTTTTCTTCTGTGCCCAGTCCCCATATCATGCTGATTAAACGCAGAACAAGGGACGTTCCTAGTCCATCGTGAAAGTATAGCTTTTGTTTTGGTAGAAGAATATCTCGGTTATTACAGGAAGAGTGGTATCACACAGGTTCTTATATTTAATATTTTCACATGTATCTGACTGTTCTGAGTTCTTTTTTTTTCATAGAACGTTTTTCTTTTAAGATTACAGTGTGGTCAGGTCTTGCAGCTGCCAGTCTACACAAATGGTGCTTACAGGTCGTCTTCTTTCATCTCTACTGCTTCTTGGTGTTTCTATCAATTGATTTAGACAGAAGGGTCATAAGGCTTTCACCCCGACTCCTTCTCTTCACTTATGCATTTGACTTTTCTCCTATACCAAACGATTGCTTTCAACACTGGTCTAATCTGAAGAGAAATAAAGCTTCTTTTATTGACCTACCTAGATGATTTTTTTTTTTTAATTAAATATATTTGCTTACATGTTATGCTAAGAAACCTTTTTTTATGTATGTTTATTTTTTTCTTTTGCATATGAATAAAGAAAAGGTAAGGTGGGGATTCTAGCAATATATTTTATGCACTACCTGGCCACTGAGGAATTGTCTTTAATTATCCTCAATCCAGGCTCCCAATTTCAGGTCAGATAGTAATCTGTTTTTTACCCAGTTTCAGAATTTCTAAAGTTGTCACAGAAATAAGTTGCAACTTGTCCCTTGACAACAACT